GATGTGCTGCATTGCTGGAAACTTTTCTGAAAATCCATTGGATACTGAATGAATTTCTCAATACTATCTCTTTATGATCTTGACCTCCCTCAATATTTATGAAGATTTATACGCTAACATTGCAACTTTGATCCTGTCACTGTACTGAGGTGAAATGCTCAGTATGCAATCTGTGCAAAGTTTGCGTATTTCGAGATTGTTTTATATTTCTATGTCCTACGAGCTTGGAATATTGAAAGATGGAATTCTGAATACTGAGTGTTTTTGTATTGGAATATTGAAGTTGAGATTGGAACATCTTTCAATTCATGTATTCGCTTGAATTATTTAATGATTATATATCCATATTTGACAGTATCTTCTATTTCACTCACTCAGCCAAATGTACTGACATTCTGGAAAAAAAAAATCAGTATCCATCTATCGTCAGCTTCAAAATCCAGTTACAGCTACATTTTTCTTTATTGAGGAGATATCAAAATTCACTACAAGCAATTCGTCCGACGTAATCTTGCGCTTGATATTTCTGAGGCCTTTGTCTCCAACCCTCTTTTTATTTTATATCAAGGATTTATCGCAAAAAACCAAGGATCCAATATATTGCTTTGCTAAGGACAGCACACCTGCTCATCATTACATTTGGACTTCAGGATCAGCTGCGGATGCACATTTTCATCGGCAGTAGGACGTTGAATATCTTAATTAGGATCTAGAAGTAATTTCGAAATGGGGTAAAAGTAACCAGGTTCAATTCAATGCTACAAAAACTCAGGCATCGCTTTCCTCCAAAAAGAAATGTTTCCGAACCGAATATAATTATGACAGATCAGACAATTTCGCTTCCTTCTTCAATAAGTTTTGTGAGGGTTGAAATCGACACCAATATGTCTTGGCACAATCATGTCACTTGAATTGCAAAGGCTGCTGAACTGTTCCGAACCAGAAAACTGTACACACCTCAACAACTTTTGATGAACTGATCAATACAGTTTATTTGTATGATTTTCACTATAAGGGTTTTACAGAAACCGCGACACGTGTTTCGCTATACAATAGCTTCTTCAAGCGTAAACTGAGAGTTACTTCTATATGAGTATAATTACATCATTATATACTATAACCTAGTACCTATTCGTCCACCTGAATAATGAATCTACCTGGAAAGATCAGTTATACCTGAAAGTATACCTGTAAATATACCTAACTATTTTTACCTTCGAATACTCTCCAACAGGTTAAGTTTCAAACCTTTCTTCTGGAAATGAAGGGGTTTGTATTCATGGTTGAACTCATGTCCCTCTGAGATTAAATGACTGGCATATGTGGAGTTTATTTTTCCATTCTGAAAACTATATTTGTGTTCCTTTATGCGGGCTTTGAACGTTCTTCCAGTTTGATTTATATAGAACATCGGACATGACCCACACGATAATTTATACACTCCTGATTTTTCTGAAACTGAACTTTTATCTTTGTTATTTTTAATGTGCATGCCTAAGTTGGTTTTGAAAGCAGTATTGACACTTTTGATGTGCAGAAAATCTGAAATATTTGTAGTGGGTTGGCCTAAGTAGGTTAAGGTTCTATAACTTCTATCCTCTTCTCTTCGAATTGGGTAAACAATTTTCAAGGCTTGACTATATAACTTTTTTGATAATAAAGAATGTATCAGACCGCTATCGTAATCATTGTTGACGACTATTTGCTCTATTATATTCAGTTCTTTATTGAAATTCGCTTCCGACAAGGGTACATTTGTCAGTCTGTGGATCATACTGTTGAAAGCTGCTACCTTATGGGTGAGTGGACGAATTATGGATGTTGTTGCTAACTTTTGTTATTGTCAAGTCTAAAAAATGTATAGATTTGTCCTATTCCATCTCCATTGTGAATGTGATCGAAGGGTGGAGAGAATTGACGAACTTCAAAAAGTTTGTTAACTGTCTGTTCGTTCCCGTGAAACATACTAGGATATCATCCACATATCTATACTAATACCCGAAACTTCCTACCAGTGGGTTACTGTGTATTCTTCTCTCCAAATCGCCTATGAAAATCTCTGCCAGAATAGAACTAAGTGGGTTTCCCATTATGAGACCTTTGCAGGATGAGTAAAACGTTTCATTGAATTGGAAGTAATTCTATGACAAACACACCGTGAGCAAGTCTAATATTTCATTTTTCACTACCGAATTGATAGTTTTTGTCCAATAGATTCTCCACCAGAGTAATCGTTTCATTCGGAGGGATACTGGGAAACAGATTCTTTACATCAAATGAAATCAATTTGGCATTATACGGGAGTGTAATATCTTGAACTTCATTGATCAAATGGTATGAATTCCTCAAACTGAATTTTGATTTGAAATTGGTGTGGTTTTGAATGATTGCAATGAGCTTTTCGGATATTTTAACTGACGGAGCTATCACGAAAGAAACTACCGGTCTTATCGGGTAGTTATCTTTGTGTAATTTAATCATCGAATACAATTTAGGTGGTTGTGGGTTCATGACTAACGATCGGAATTTTTCCTTTTCACCCATGACACAATGAATATTTTTCAAAGATTCCTTGACTTGTTTCTGATATAAATGGGTGGAATCGTTTCTGACACTGTCGTATATGCCAGCATTTGGAAAGTCTAAAGTCTTCTTCACGTATCACTCCTTGTTCATGGCTATGAACAGCTCCCGTAAAAACAATTTTATATTCTGCCGATTTCTCTTTTATGGATTTCACTAGTTTCAATTCCGGATTGATTTTAATGCTTTATACAGCTCAGATCAGACCTTCTTTGGAGTATTGTTGGAGCTCCACCCCTAAACATACCCTGAAGCTGCTGCAGAAAGAGCCATCCGCCTGATTGGAGAGGCGAACATCACTTGCAACTTTGATAGCCTAGAATATCGAAGAAAGGTTGAAGATTTGTCTCTCTTCTTTAGATACTTTCACGGGAGGTGATCAAGCGACTTGGCACATTTGATTCCACCAAAAGTGTTACATATTAGAAATACGCGACGAACTGTGGCTGCTTCGTTTCGAGATTCAACTCAGTACACCTCGAACTCCACTGTTTCAAGAACTTTTTCATTCGGAGAATTGCCTTTATGTGGAATAAACTTCACGAACGTTTTCTCCAGCGATTCAACTCCAATGTGAATCACAATTTTCGCACACTCACCACTATAAGAGTGTCTTAAGGATTTTCCTGTATCGCTTGTGTTTTGTTCTTAAAAAAAAGACTCATGAATATTTTTTTGTAAAAAGGCAATCGAAAAGATTTGCCAAAAATGTTAAACACACTGCATAAAAAATCGAATTTTGAGAGTTTGCATCCTGTGATAATATCGCAAATTGAGCTCAAAATTCTATATTTATTGGCAATACTTTTTTTAATAGGGGATCTATGAGATATTGAAAATCATCAATTTTGATTTGCAGTAGGGCCATCGTCACAAAAATTGACAAAATTTGTCTAATTTATACAGATACTAGTCATAAAAAATTGTGATCACTTCAATCAATATGGATGAAGATGAAAAGCATTGAATAGGGTGAGGCTCAAGAGGCTGCCAGCATTTTTAACTTCCGAGAAGTTTCACGTGTTTTCAGGAAGGCTGGAAAACATTGTTCTATACCATATGTTCCAAATATAACTTTCAGTTTCAAAGAAAATTCATCAATACATCAATCAGGAACACAAGACATTTTGAAACACACATGGTCCATGCGAAATCCCTGAGTATTTTTCACAATTGTGCATTTTTGATAATTGAAGACAAAATAGCTGTCCGAAACTAGAAATATTCTTGTATAACTCTCCTATAAATCCTCGTTCAGTATCCATACAGTTTCTTCACCGAACAGATAGAGCATGATGTGCACAAGATTTTTCACAGGTCCAGTGTTTTTGATAGACGAATTTCAGCAGCAAACATTTTCATATAATCAAGGAACACTTCATTGTGAGATATACTACATGGGCTGAAAAGGCTCGGACCTGACACATAGATGTCGGTAGTTTTATTGCATTCACGGTTTTTTCAGTTCTTCATAAGAAACCTGTTGGAATTTCATGATATTCTACTCATAATTTTGTGAAGTAATGTGCAAAGAGTGACGCTACATATTCGTGTCAATTTTATGTAGCTTTTTGATGGAAAAAAATAGCGTTTAAGCAAAGCTATTATTTGAAAAGTGTTGTGAGGACTCCGCTCCACCAGAAACAACAATTAAACATTGGTTTGCTGACTTCATACAAGATGGTAGAGACAACAATGATGCAGAAAGCAGTGGACATCCAAATGATGCAGTAACACCAGAAAATGTAAAAAAAAAACACAACATCTTTTTGAAGTGAAGTTGTGTGAGTTAGCTGACATTGTAACGATTTCAAAAGAACGTGTTGGCTTTATATTGCATGAGCATTTGACTATGAGAAAGTTCTGTTCAAGATGAGTGCCGCGCGAGGTCACTGTTGACCAGAAACAAGAACGTCTTGGTGATTCTGAGCAGTGTTTGACCATCTTTAAACATAACACAGTGGAATTTTTGCGCCGATATTTGACAATGGATAAAATATCCAAACATGGGATAGAAGCCTGGTGGGTTGACGTGTGTGGTTTACTCCGCTCACTCAATTAACCGCTATGCGAACTGGTGGTTGGAACCGCAAGGCCGGACGATTCTACAAAAGTGGTTTTGAAATGTAAGAGCGGCGGTGAAATAATTGTGTGGCTCTTAATGGAGATAACGTTGATGATGATGATGAAAGAAAACGCGTTTTCTTTCTTAGGCCCATGACTTTTCAGCCCATGTGTTATTAGTTTCCCCATTCTATACGTATATGGTTTTTGGTCCAGATAACTCAAATTTTCACCCTGACTTTTATATTATTTTCATTTTAGTGATTATGATGAAATTTCCCAGTGAGATTGCACTTAATATCTTAATAATATACATATATAATATTGATGACAACAATATATTTTTTTTTCAGTGGAACAGCGACAGTATGATGAATATTCATATGTGTAAACATGCTGAACTTATAGCTCCTCAAGTACCAACCTACCTCTACGTATTTTCCTACTTTGGCGAATTGGGACAAAGCCCGTCAGAAATTATCCCAGGTAAATTGTACTATTACATCAATGAGAAATATGAATACATGTCAAAACTTTTCACTACAATAACTGATTGGATCAATTACGCAACATGAATTTGAATCGTATATTCAGAATTCCTCAATTCGATAGACTTTTATTAATGTTGTTCAAGAATTATTCGTAGTGAACCAATGAATAATCATCAATATGAATATTATTGAATCTCAAATCGCGGCTGCTCAGCATATATTCACGAAAACTGTCAAGTTTATATAACGNCTACTTCGTGGCTGCTCAGCATATATTCACGAAAACTGTCAAGTTTTTATGACGCGCCATTAAATTATTAGGCCCGCCACAAATTGAACCTAGCCAACGCACAACCCCTGCGTAGCTTACGTGTGACCAAAACCCAGCCCACGTACGTGTATTTTGATAACACTGTATATTGAACACAACCCACTTATGGTGCAATCACCTGGTGGCCGAATGCTTTACAGAAAACGGCCTAGGCAAAGCTCTCTGGCTTACAGAGACAGGCTTCTTTGGCCATCAGTGGTGCCATCAGTACCACACCGTCAGCGGCCATATAGATCCTGCTAGATCTGCCTCCTCTCCACATTTTTATGGAGAGGCTAGATGGACTGCATATAGACTTGTGTACATTGCCAATTGCACAAATCAATTTAATGCAGAGTGCAACAAACTGTTGGTTGACACTGAAAATCACAACATTTTGAAAATGACCTCTGACTTCATGCTTCCACTGTCATATACGATCTGCCTTATAAAACATTGTTCCCGAGTAGAGAAGACTGGATCATCCGGAATAAGGAAATATTAAGGGCAGATATTTGTTCTTAGATGAATCAAACACATCTTCCTGTTCTGGTGCAGGTGTTTTCAGTCGCAGACCACGGAGAGAGATATCAACTTGCTTAGAAACATATGCGACTGTATTTCAAGCGGAAATTAACGCTATTGAATTGCATGCGGAGAGATTGAAAGAATCCAATTTCATACACAAGTATAAAAATATTCTCGGATAGTCAAGCGCCGTTGGAAGCTCTTGGCTTCTACCAAGCAACGTCTGAATGGATGGCAAATTGCCAGAAATGACTCTTCTTGATAGAAAGACTCAATAGATTGTCTGTGGTCTGGATTTCTTGCCATACTGGCCTGGAAGGCAAGCAGCTTCATTTGGACGACAAGAAGATTTATGGACTTCTGGCAAAATGTTCCAGAATTGGCCGACTCTAAGGCGTTTATTCACCCTTCGAAGCTTGCCACTAAACAGTTGTTGGACTACAGTAGGCATGAACTACGATATCTACGAGGCCTTCTTACAGGTCACTGTCATTCAAATCATCATATACAGAGACTCGGACTGTTGGAAGACAGTGTGTGTCGCCTCTTTTTGGAAAACGATGAAACAGCAGAGCACATACTTTGTGCCTGAATTTTGCGCTATAGAAACGATCCTTTTTTGAATCGGATCGTCACGTCTCATGAAAAGTGGATCCCCTACGACAACAGGAGATGTTCAGAATAGAGCAGTTGGACACTAATCAGGCACTTCCCAAAGGCAAAAACCCACCAAAAAAGACCATGGTTACCGTATGGTGTTCAGCGGCTATAACTTTCTGCAACCGGGCGAAACTAGCACTACAGTGTTGACTAATGAACAATTCAATGAAATGTATAGTAAACTGCGTCAGCAGCAGCAGACACTGATCATCGGAAGAGGTCCGATCCTGATGGACGATAACGCTCGCCCTTACGATTTACAAATCACCGTACAAAAATCAAACGAACTGAGCATCGAAATTCTACCCACCCATTCTCTACCCTTTTGCCAACCGACTTTCATCTTTTCAAGGACATCGACAACTTTCTCATCGAGAGTTCAAAGTAGTCTCGTAAAAACAGACAAAACCTTTGAAACAACCTAATAGAATTATAATGAAGAAAAAAATGAAACTTTCTATGTTTTTTACCACTTTTATTTGTAACTTATACAATAAAATGTCCGAATAGGACAAAACTGCAGTAACGTTAGTTACAAATAAAAGTAGTAAAAAACATTTCTCTTTTCTTCATTATGATTTTCTACTACGTAGTAACGGCTACATCCATCAATTCAATACAATTATAGTTTTCGATTGATTGAATGAAATATTTGTATCCATCAGTCTCTTCAAATTTTCAAAATTGAAATTTTAGAAGACGATAGTCGAATTCTAATCACTAATTTTTGACTCATCTCTCATGTTTCACTGTTGACGTTTCCAGAAAAGTCAGAATAGTTATTCAGGATCATAATAATTTGCAATTTAACGAGATAGAGTGATGGAAAAATGGAAAATTTCTCCACAAAATTCTTCGAGACCGTTTCCCTTGGCTATATATTTGTTTCAGCTCTGAAGATCAATTAACTTGTGCTTCTGAAGCCACGAAAGTTATTCTATCATCCATGGGTGCATATATTCCTTTTTCAATGGAACGTCCTTCTAACGGCAAACCTTGGTTCGACAAAAACTGTCGCCTCCAAAAATCTCGCATACCGTCAGTGGCGTAAAAATCCCAGTGCCTAAAACCAAACTAGTTTTGTTAATGCTCGCAACAGCTGCAAACTTAGAATAAATGAAAGCAAAGAACTTCACAATCAGAGAATTGGGGATTAACTGCTTGCCAACCCCAACGAGTTTAGATCCTTCTGGTCGGTAGCTAAAGCTGTTAATCAAAACTTTACAAAATCCACAATTCCACCACTAATACAAACGGGCGGTTCAACTGCAACAACAGCCATAGAAAAAGCAAATCTACTAGCTGAACATTTTGCGTCCCACTCCACAGTCGATTTTCAGGGAAAGGGGACACCCACTATTACCACAGTAAAAACCTCAATGCAGGAAATTACTTTTCGACAGTGTCTAGTCAAACGAATTTTGAAACAGCTCAATATCAACAAGGCGTCTGGCCCTGATGAAGTGCCCGTCATCGTACTTCAAAAGTGCGCAAATGAACTTGCACCAGTGTTTTGCAGACTTCTCAACTTGCCTTACAAGAAAGGTATTTCTCCTTCTTGTTGGAAGATTGCTCACGTTCAGCCTATTGCCAGAAAGGGAAAAAAATCTTCCAAATAACTATAGACCAGTCGCTTTGCTATCAGTGATATCAAAAATTATAGAGAAAGTAGTAAACCACCATATTCTCAAATATTTGGAAGGCTTGAACATCTTGAGCGATCATCAACATGGCGAAAACACAGATCAACAAGCGATCTTCTATTGTATGTCACCCATATATGGAATAACGCAATCGAAAAACATGAAAAATCAAGAGCTGTGGCGCTTGATATTTCTAAGGCCTTTGACCGTATATGGCATGAGGGTTTGCTGGCCAAACTTCGATGCTATGGCTTGGCGGATCATTTCTGTGTATGGCTCTCCAGCTTCCTGAAAGAAAGTTCCTTGCAAGTGGCCGTCGATGGATATCTCTCGAATACTTTTACCATCAACGCTGGTGCTCTCCATGGATCCATATTGTCTCCAACCCTCTTTTTATTGTATATCAATGACTTATTGGANTTGTGAAAAAATCATTCATTATTGGAGATGCACTGTTCACTGAACCAGTTGATAGAGTTTTTCAGAAAAAATGGTATCAACATTACCAAAGGGCATTTAATTGATAACACGATTAATCATTACACTACAGAATGTATTCACTGCAAAATTTAAAGAAACAACATTTCACGAGGAAGAGGTTGAAAATAGATTCTCAATTCGATTTCTATAACTTAGGCAACATAGCTCAAATATAAGTCATCAATTACTGTAAACTAATTGTTCTCATACTGTCACTTGCCGGAAGTAAGTAGGCGTTGTAACGAACCACGTCAGTTTTATATATATATCCAAGCTACGATGTTTATTCTAGAAAAAGACCTCACGTTGGAAGGGACGATACTGAGACTGAGTGAGGTCGTGAAATGTATCGGCGTGTGGTTCGACACAAAGCTGACCTTCACAGAATGCTGAGAATCTGTTACCCGAGGTTGGAGGTCCTGAAGCATTCAAAAAAGGGCAGCACCTTAATACAAAATAGGTATCAGGTTCTGTAGTACCTATAGAACAATTTCTGCCAAAATAGCTTGTGCCATTGGGGCGTCCCTCCAATGGAATTCCAAATAATGGAAAGGAGGGAACGATACACCGGTACAACCAAAGTGCTGACCAGAGGAATTCTATGCATTGTTGCCAAGTCAAAAGGGAGAATGGCATCACATTTCTTAGTGGCCAGAAAATATAGTCTGGTCAATGTAGAACATTTTCTAATACAATGAAAAACTTTGTTAGGAAGGATTATTTTCTGTNGTATTAAGGAAACGATATAGGTAATTGTCACAACACATCTTCTCATGATATCGCCTAAATATTTTTAGTGTTACGAATAGAATATATCGAACCTATCATAAATCTGATCCTTGAATCATATTCTATTCCAAAACACAAATTTATTTCAGAAATCCAACACCATCGCATGATCCTCTTTTGAATGGTTTCATTTGGCCCACGACTGATAGTGAGAATCTGCGGTACTTTAATTTCAATGACACCCTGGAAGTGAAGGAAAACCCAAGGCAGTTCAAAGAAGTGAGATCAGTTCTGGATCGTTATTTGGAACCACCATATATCTATTATTGAGCAACTGTATTGATAATATAATATTAAAAATGAAATAGTTCCCTGTTTTGATTTGTCTTTTCATTCGTGAATCGTCAACAATTTTTGGAAAAAGTTATCCACAATTTGATACACCAATATTTACGCGGAAAAAAGAAACTTCACAGTATCATTATTTGTGGATATTACAATTTCGGACTAAAACAGGGATTACCCGATTTGAAATTTATGGAAAAGGGTTGTCTCGCAGATGTTTCTCCTTCATCCAGCTGAATATTAGAAATACAATCAACTATGAAAATGATTATAAGGTGACTATAATGAAAATTCTGAAAGATTATTCAGTATCCGTATCTGTAGAGTGGAGAGAGTGAGTGTAGACGCACAGCACTTAGGCTGCATGTGACCCATTGTACATCCTCCTGAGGAGTTGTCGTCCTAGGTCATCTTCCATCCTGTCCTTTCCAGGAAGGTGGACAGGTCACTTGGAGACATCTCTTTCACATTGGCAGGTGCAGACCAAGACTCGCCGAACACACACTCTCTTGTAACAACATGGCCAATTTAGAGAAGATTGCCACAGCATACCTAACAATCAGCACGGACACTCCATGATGCCGCCTTTGATCTCAAAAAGTATGAAGCCGCCATCTTGAAAAGCGGATTACTCAGGACCAGACTTGCGACATGGTGTCTATAACAGAGGCGTACTGGAAATTTTATCTTGTCATAATTCATGAAATTGAACTTGTTTTCAAATGACTTCATCTGATAAAATAGGGTTCGTCATTTGATTGTTGCTATTTCATTCAACATAATGAATACTATATCGATACGATACTATTTGTAATTCTTTCAAATAATATAAGAAGTGATAGCTAAGGGTTTTCAGAATTAGATTTGACTGGTACAAAATGTGAGGATCACTTCACGGAAAACATCATCTCGTTTGGTTTGTTGCAACCCAAGTAGAAATTTTCCTCTATTCATATTCTTTGCTGACGACGCTGTTATTTATTACACTGGGAATAATCATTCAACATGCTTCAATGCAATCAACGAAAGTTTAGAAGCCATTCAAAATTATTGCTGTGCAAACTTATTGAAAATAAATACAAACAAAACAAAATGGATGTTAATCAGTAGAGATAAAATGTATAGGAAAGTAATGAAAACAGAGCCAAAACTTTCAATCGATGGTGTCCAGATAGAAATGGTTGAGACATTCAAATATTTAGGGGTTATGGTTGATCGTCAACTGTATTTTAATGACCATGCAAAAAATGTTATAAGAACAATTGCCATGAAAATTTATTATTTGAGGAGATGTTCTCCGCATCTCACTCAGTGGAGGGGTATAGTCGCATAAAGTTTTGAAGGAGTGGAAATGCTTCATCTCCTACGTACGATAAAACTGATGAGGAATTATTTGGAAGGCATTTTGAAGGCGGGAAATTCGTCTTTCCCTTTTTTAAAGCATTACCTTGTTCAGATCTCGCTAAAATGCTTGCATCACCCATTTTTTTGACAAAACAAAGCAGTACAGGAAAATCGTTGAGGCGCTTTAAGAGCGGTGCCTGTGCAAAAGTAGCGGTTCTCATTGGATTTGAATTGCTGGATATTGATTCCATTGGGAAAGAGTTTTTGAATAGTTAAGTTCGAATTGAACTAAATTGAACCTCGAAACGATGAGCAGCCACAGATCATCGCGTATTTCTTATACGTACCGCTCTTGGTGGAATCAAATGGCCAAGTCACTTTGACACTTCCCGTGAAAGTAAGAAGAGAGACAATTCCCCAACTTTTCTTCGATGCTTCAAACTATCAAGGTTGCAAGCAATATTCACGTCTACAACCAGACAAATACCTTTTTCCTGGATGGAATCCAGCAGCTTCAGGGTAAGCTAGGGGCGGAGCTCCATACATGAGAACAATACTTCAAAGAAGATCTAATCTGAGCTTTATAAAGCATCAAACATTGCTGAGGTGTGCACAGTTTTCCGGTTCGAAACAGTGTTCCAAGCTTTTGAGAAGCAGCCTTTGCAATTCCAGCGACATGATTGTGCCAAGACATATTGGTGTCCATTTTAACCACCAACAAACTTATCGAAGCAGAAAACGGAATTGCCTGTCCTGACATTATCATATCCGGTTCGGAGACATTTATCTTTTCGGAGAGAACCGATGCCTGGGATTTGTTGCATTGAATTAACCCTGGTTAATTTCACATCAATTCGAAATCACTTATAGATCCTCATTAAAATATGCAACTTCCTGCTACCGGTGAAGATATGCATCCGCAGCCGATGTCCCAACATCTACAAAAACAAACTCATAATCTGATTCAACTACTGCAGAGAGCCCAACGCTAAAGTGCTTCTTGTGATTGAAAAACTCAGAGCCACTCCTAGCCGGTTTTTCAATGCTTGCCGTCTATGGCTCTAACTGCGTTGGGAAATTGCCATTTTATATAAGTTCGTTTGGCGAGATTCTCTCAGGTGGGGAGACAGGATGCGGCATCCCGCCCTATTATAGTGTATGAAGGAGGTAGGCGCAGGCAAACGACAGGCCACGTCCCGTCATGTTTCTGTTCTATCGAACCTGTCAACAAGATTTCGTAGATTTTTTTTGATGAGTGTCATCTGCATCGAGGTGAGCTGAAAGTGATCTGTGATGTAACTGTAAATAATGTGATAGTTCTTCAAAACCCTATGGTTGGCGATTGCTGCCGTTCAAGAGGGGTGAAGGAAATGTGCAAGTACCATGTCTGTTATCGGCCTGACCCTTCAACTGTAGTATTGTTATTCAAAACCCGCTGAATATACGTTAATACGAATATAAGTCATTCATTAGTCATTAGTCATGTCCCCTTTTTCTTATGGAACTCTGTTATAGAAATCACGTTACAAGTGTAAGGCCTGCCGCAATTTGAACCCAGCCCACGCACTCCCACGCGCAGCACATACGTGCACTATTTTGTAAAACATGTTTTGAGACAGATTGGCGCATATTGAACTTATCCCACGGCCAGGTTTAATTTCAAACTGTTTCGCGTGGATCAGGTTGTGCTAGTAACACAGTTTCGTGGGCCTTTACTTTTGTCAGTGTGATCAGTTTTGTCTAACTGGAAAATGGAAAAATACATTGAAATTGTTGAGAGCTTTCCTGTGTTATATGATACTACTCATGGAGATTACATGAAAACAAAACTGAAGGATGATTTGTGGAAGAAGAGGTGCAACAAGATAAATGGTTCTTCATCCTCAGATTCAGATTGTAAATCGAGAAAGAGATGTTGCTGGTTTGCAGTTATTTTAAATACTGCGTTATGTTAAGTTAGGTTCAAAGTGAGTGGGTCTATTTGGGCCTCCAACGCAACTCTCAAGGGATCATTGTGACTCACATCTATTCACACTCGACCAACTAAACCCATATTCTCAACGAAGCTGATTAGTTTGTATAGTGAGTGGTCTTTCAGGTCAGATGGTAAGAGTACGGCTCTGCCAAACTTAAAAACCTGAGTCAGTCCCCAGCGTGATACACAATAACTTTCCATTAAAAAAGTTCAGATGTATTGATCGAATGACTCTTAATTACTTTTACGATAATTTACGGGATATGAGAAAAAATCTAGCTTATTTAAAAACCATCTCTAACACAACAAATGATGAACATGACAAAACTGTATTCAGACTCTACAGAAAACATTATCGCAGAGCAATAACTGAGAGCAAAAGAATTTCCTTTGATAATTTTTCAATGGGATCGACCAACAAACAGAGAGACTGAATTATAAACCAAGGAAAAAACTCGAATATCCAAAAAAAAAGAATGACTCATTTCTTGTGAAGATTTTGCTCTTTATTTCTCTACAGTAGCGGATCTTCTGATTTAACCAATTTTTTCCCTGTGACAGGATTCATCCTTGCTTCTTGAGGTCTGTACCATCCCCAGAGGCGACCTTCTTTTTAGAACCCGTTTCTGTATCTGAAGTAATTGAGGCTATTCGTTNGCTAGTCTAGACATTAAGGTCAAACCCTCTCATTTATTTATATATAATGTATATGTGTAAATTTTGTGTGTTGGAATGTTATACAAATAGCTGAATTTATGCCAGAAGTATACTTGTTTTTCTAATCTGAATGTTAGATTAGTATTTATATCTTTAAATTTTTTATTGTAACCTAGTACTAAGGAACTAACTTGCTATAAATGTATCTTTGTCCATAATGTAGTAAAATAAACATCTATCTATCTATCTATCTATCTAATAATCTCAATTTAGTTCTGGCTACATAAGCACCTTATCACTTCAAATAACTATACCAAATATCAATCAAATCTGTGTAAGGATATTCATGATATTTCATAAATACCGTTTTTTTTTTAAACTTCAACGGTCGGTATCTCAGAAACGAAGCAACTCCGGACATAAGTTCATGAAAACTTTTTTTTTTAACGACCTAACAAATTACCTTCAGAAGTTTCGTGCCGTACTTAGGAAAGACCCTGTATAGAGAATACATTTCCAATTTCTGTGAGTATCTACTTGATGAAAAATTATTCTTACGTTATGAATTGTTGTATTGTGATGGAAATCAGTCAAATATAATTCACAACTATCTGAAACTGATGGAAAACAACATCTCCGTATAGACACCGACATAAAGGCATTGCATTTTCTGTTCACTATATTTTTTCAAGGTGCTGGACGAGTGGCTCACGCTGCAGAGTTACATTATATGTGGGATGATGGCTCCAATTCTGATTTGAGCAAATTTCCTGAGGAGGACAGATTAACGCTGCATCGTTTTGTGAAGCTATGGACGAACTTCGTTAAATATCAGTAAGTTTTCAAGCAGAAGTATTTCGTGATTTTTCTGTTTGTATTCGAAATTTGAAATGCCATAATACAGAGTGTATGGCATTTCAAACTTTTCTGCCTCTTAGTCATTAAAAATGAGACTGAACCTACTTTTTCTTCACTTACTCACTTTAGGCCAGTCTTTCTCCAAATGGGCGATAACGCCCCTTTGTGGGCGCTGGAGGCCTATAGGGCGACGGCGGAGGCAGCGACGGCTAATTTAAAAATGTTTTTTTGCTTTCAACACAAACTTCACCGCTCCTTTATGCTAAACGCGCGTTTTCTCGTGTAACGCCATCTAGGGGACTAGACAGTAACTATTTCATGTCCGATAGTTGTCAAAATGTATAAAAGATGGCAGTAAGCTTCCATGCAAAGCGAGAAGTTACTAGTCTCCATTCTCGAAAGTACTAGGCCCGTCCGTCGCCTCATATGAAAACGTGTCCGACATTCAGCCAGTAATGTCATTCAACGATATTACGAAAACAAGTGAATTCAGTTAGCGACTAGCTAGGTAAAGTGCTGTACGTGCGGTGGTGAATACTGTGAGTGGTGTCATTAGCAAGTTTTTTATATCGATTCTTTACTTCGGCTTTTTAAGACAAAATCATGTCAAAAGTAAAAAAGAAGAAACGGCAGTATAGCGCGGAATATATAAAATATGGATTTATTGAAAATCCCACGAATCCATCTTCGCCTATGTGCCTTCTTTGTCAAAAAACATTTTCGAATGAAGCGATGAAACCCTCAAGGCTACAAGATCATTTGAATAAAATGCATTCAGATAAAAAAGACAAAATTACTTATTTTCAAGAACTGAAAAAGGGACACTCAGCTCTGCCAACTGTGTCAAAACGTTTTCCAGCGGCTTCTAAGCAAGACGACGACGGCCTCCAAGCTTTCTACAGTATCTCTTTGCTAATTGCTCAAACAGGTGAGCCTCACACTATTGGACAGGATTCAATTATACC